TACTACACAGAGAGGATGCTTGGCTGTACTCTTGAAAATGCATTTAACGTAATATTAATAGAGGGCTATACATTAAATTGAAAAAGCCAACAGAAATCAATTAAAAATGGAACTGAGAGCAAAGATAAAGTACAACCTATAGAAGCCAGCAGCCACTGGAGCTGGATCACTGTTTGACTTACGAGTCTTGAGCTCTTGATGGACCACAATATCTACTAGTCAAGTCAACCTCGTGTTTTTTTTACTAGTTTGGCAACCATAGTTACTGTAAAAACTCATTATCATGAAATTGATTAATGACATAGCTTTCTGAGATAGAAATACTTGAGATTTGAGAAAAGTTGAAGAATGTTATCTTAATATTTGCAGAAGACTAGTAGGTTGATTTACATCATAAAAAAGTGGCCTTTGTAACTCGCAAGATGTTGCTCTCTGTCGCCCTAAGCCTTTTGTGGGAGCGGGATTTGGCGAACTTCTTCCGTAAAGGGGGAACTTACTATTTCCTCCGCCAAGTTGTTCTGGTAAGCTTTTAGATCGTTGAGCATCTTTTGTATGCGATCTAAATCTTCACTTTGGTTGCCTTGGTTGCTTTTGTTAAGTTGTACCTCGAGCAAATGAGTTCGCAAGTCTGTTGCTTGAGAAGCTCCTCCGGTCATGATTATGGATGGGCGCGGGCCGAGGACCCCATTCCCTATCTTCGTCCTCGTTACCCACTCCTATGACTGTCCCCAGCCCGTCCCTGTGGCCGGGATTTTTCTCATGACCATCCTCGGCCTGTGGGGATGGAATCACTCCCATCCCCGTCTTGGCCCGACATGATAACGGGGCTTCGAGAGGAATTTCCCCCATGGGGATTTATCCCCCTAATGAGGTTTTTTTGTGCAGGGATTTTTGCCCGTATAGATCAAAACTTTCCGCATGTTGTCACGACAATAATATTAAATTATTTTAATTGTGAGAAACTAGCACATTGGTAGGTACTATTTGACAATTTAACTGCTTAATTTCAGTAGTTAATTCATTAAAAAGGCATAATTTAAGGTAAGAAAATATAAAATCAACAATTTCTTGTAAATTTTAAATTAAGATTTAAAAAGCAATACATAACTACCAAAATAAACTAATTTAATTGTTATTAAGTTAGTGACACATTTTCTATATAGTATTAAATAGAGGAATTCAGATTCCACTTTCTGATGCTTTATGTTGCTGAGGCATTGTAATGTTCCACTAAAATAGTCTCATCTCCTAAAGTTCATAAAATAAATACCTAAAAGAAAATTTCGCTGAGAATTGATATGGATATGGTGAATAACAACAATTTCTTGACAAAAATTAGAACATGCTCATGGATTTCAAAACAATAAAATATAAACATCTTTCAGGTTGCGACATAAACCTCATAATGTACTCAAATCATCCATTGCAACATAAACCTCATAATATATTGGTTTGGTAAATTGTATTAATCTAATCAAATTTATTTTTGAGCCACAAATTATTATTTTGTGAAATTCACAAAGTAATAATACATATAACAAAGTAATAATACATATATTTAGTTATTAGACTCCCTCGTTTAAATTATTTTTCTATAAATTTAATACAAATATTAGAAAGTATTATAAAAGTAAATATCATAAATTTAGATACATTACTTAAAAACTATGATTTAAACTCTAACTTTATATACAATCTCGCAAAGGGAACAAAAAAATACATAAAATTCTCAAAAAAGCGGGGCAGGGCGGCGATTGCACTATCCCCATCCCCGGGTGTGGGGATTTCTTTGAGGACCATCCTTGGCCCTATCCCCTGAAAGATTAGTGGCGGATTTGAAAAGAAAATAAAAAGAAATGAATGAATCGAAAGAGAAAAGAGAAAGATCATGTTTCTTGTTCTGTTATTAAAAATTCATTTTTACAATATTAGTTACAGAAGACTTTATATAGTCTGATACAAAAGCTTACAAAACGCACCGTGTGGTGACAATTTTATTTCTTTACAAAAACAACCCTTCTTAACTTCTAATCTTTGCAGAAATTATACTTGTTTCCAATATCTTCCTGTAAGTCAAAGCCACTAAACTAACTCAGCTAATCTCTCTTTGGTCAATATCTTCCTGTAAGCCAAAGCCTCAAACATGAGGAGTGCAGAGACTTCCTATTCCATTTTTCATCACAAAAAAAAAAAAAACAAAAACAAAAACATATTTCCTACTGCAGAAACTTCAAGCCATATCTCCTACTGCAAATTCCTACTATATCACAAACATGGAAACTGCAGAAACTTCCTGTTGCCCTTACAAAAACAAAAACAAAAAAAAAAACAAAAAAACTCCAAACTTCAACTGCATTAACAAATAGTTCTGCAAACTTTTTCTGCACAAACTTCAACTGCATTACAAGCAAAATACTTCTACACACACTGCAAACTTTTCTACAAACTTTTTCTGCAAACTTCAACTATATCACAACCATGAGAACTGTAGAAACTTCCTGCTGCACTTACAAACAAATATTCTCCCAAAAACACTCCAAACTTCAACTGCATTAACAACTAGTTTTGTAAACTTTTTCTACACAAACTTCAACTGCATTACAAACAAATATTCTCCCAAAAACACTCCAAACTTCAACTGCATTAACAACTAGTTCTGCAAACTTTTTCTGCACAAACTTCAACTGCATTTCAAACAAAAACTTCTGCTCTAAAAACACTATAAACTTCAACTGCATTAGAAGCAAAATACTTCTACACACAGAGCAAACTTTTCTGCAAACTTCAACTATATCATAACCATGAGAACTGCAGAAACTTCCTACTACACTTACAAACAAATATTCTCCCAAAAATACTCCAAATTTCCCCAAATTTTTTGGGATTCCCCACCCCATTTGGGCCGGGTCGGGCCGGATCCCCACGAGGCCAGGGCAAACACCCATCTCTAGTCATGATGGCTAGGTTGGTAGGTGCTATCATGCTCGTCAGTGCGTTGCTCACGATGTCAGTCATAACTATTGGAGTAGGTGCCCTAGAGCCAATCAATTATTATGGAATTGACTCTTTGTAATAATGTTTATTAATCAATAAAATGCATTATCTACTATATCATGTAAACCATAGTTGGATGTATTGATATATATCCTTAGAATGGTAGAACCATGACGAAGGTATCAAGTGTTTCAAATCTTGATAGTGAGAACCCCATAAGCACATATGATGGCCATTCTAGAAACGTCTGTAGCCCTAGTATTGATCTAATCAAGGGCACAAATAATACGGTAAGGCTATCATAGTGTTGAACAACCTTATCGAAAGGCAGTGACTGATCTCACTTGTCAAGATTGTTTGGTGACAACCTGGTTCAACACAAAGGTGCTTGCTATAGGCAAGTTCACTGGACTGACCCACCAGAAGATTCCATATGGATGGTAACCTTAGTGTCTATAGAACAAATCATCTAACAAATGGTGGTGCATATATGTGATCCTTAGACTTGAGATCACCGAAGCGCCTTGTGCACCGATTGGTATAGTTTGACACTAGCCCAACACAGTTCTATTCAGAGCTGTCAATACGGTAGTGATTGACTGTATCGAGGAGTGTATCAAGACTATGGTGGATCGACAGAGAATTCATCACTCCCGGGTACGGGAGAAGTTATCTCACGGGGTAATTCAATTAATGACAATGACAGTAAATATGTGATCACAGTGGGATTAAGTTGTTGCTCAATCTAATTCATTATTCCGGTCATTGGTTAGGTAACTGAATACAAATATATCGAGAGTAACTGAGGTTGACACTATTTTTGTGCCACAGTCTCGATGAGATAACAGATGATGAAAGGATTTGATTGTACGGTAACCATATCATTGACAGGTAGCTACTTCACTGAATCCGAATCTATCGGGTGGCCATGATGCCTTGCTAGGGGCCAATCTTGGTTTGTGTGTAATGAGACGATTAATTGGTGTTGATCGCGATATTACACACTGCGGTATGATGAGGAGCCTATGGGTCACACACATAGAAGATAATTTAATAATCAATCTGTGAGAATGGCGTTTTCTTTTTTTTAGGCGAAACGGTATTTTGGTAATCTCACAGTACAATTAAATTTGCTGAGATTGTTGTTTTTATTTAATTTGATATTAAAATTAAATAAGTGAGATTATATTTAAATATGTGTACGCATATATTTAAATGAATTATTTTTATTGTTAAAGGTTAATATATTTTATATATATTAATTTAATTTAATTGAAATAATAATAATTAAAATTAAAATATCTGAATGGGGATGTTTGGACATAGGGGCTATTTGGGTTGGTGTCTAAGCCTATTCCTAAGTGGAATAGGGTTTCACATGCACTATATAAGTGCATGTGTTCTATGAATTAAAGAATATTTTTCATTTAAGTCATTTTATATCATATTCATTGAAAAGCTCCAGCCCACTCTCTACCCCACGCTACTTTACTTTGTATGAATCAAATTCATTTGATTCTTGTTCTTGATTTTTGAGGCTAAAGAGGATCTAGCAAATCCCTCTCTAGCTCTTCGGGTTATTTTCGTGTGGACTACCGCTGGTTCGATTCTACTTTCAATCGGTAGTGAACCCAGTCAGAGACAAGTTTGAAGGAGCCTCCAAATATGCGTATGAACTCTTATCTTTACTCTAATTGTTCATATTACTATAGAATATTTGATTTAACATATTATCTATAACATTTGTATCCTGATCTTGGCTTAAAATGGAATCGATCTCTGTTTTATTTTTGTTTTTCTACTGTCATGGGTTAGATCGTTTCCTAACAATAACCGAAACGTCGGTCATTGCCATATTGTCGCACATGGCTCGCTTCGCAAGCCTGTGAAGATCGATCTAGTCTTGGGCATGGGTTAAAACTGACACGCTGACGCTGGGGATACCGTCAAGGTTCTTGGTTGTGTTCGTCCGTCGCCTTGGCTTTCCCTCAGCAACTGCTTCCCTGATCGCCTCCCGGGGTTTGTTTGCCCGCGGGTCTCACGCTCGTGCTTGGAGTGCTGCTTACGAGATTGGAGGTGTTGATTGCCCCTTGGCAGTGACAAAGCGGACTGTCCACCTATAGAATTCATACCTATTGAGGTGGCGTTGGTGAAGCGTGGCTGGTCAAGGTTCTGGGCAATTGGTTGTTGGTTCCTCAGCTCAGCCACGTTCTATTGCACCGTTTCTGCAACCATTGTCCTGATCATTTCTATCAGTTGGCCATTCTCAGGGTTTGACGTCTCGACCCCCTAGTTGTTTGCAGCATGCTGAGCTGGCGGCACGGGTGGTCGGTGCCCAGTATTCTGCTGTTGCATCTCCTGATGGGTGGTTTCCACATTCTCGTGATTTCCGATGGTAGTTCCTGATCTAGTGAACACCATTTTGATCCTAAGACAAGTAAATTGCGGTGAACGTTTGCCAGAATCTTTGAGATATTGGCAGAGGGCCCCCATTCGAGCGCCAAAATGTTGTTACAGAAATCTGCACCAACCAGCAAAATCAGATCGACCTTGCCAGGATCGGAACTGATGTGTACATGATTAAGAATAATTAGCAATGTATATAAAAGAATGCAATAAAATAAAAACAATGAGAGTTTTAAAGTAGTTTGGCGAGGTTAAACTCTAAGGCCTACATCCACTATTTTTGTATTTGCTATGAGAGCTTACAATATAGTTCCTATGTGAAATTCGTAACCCCTTACTCATCGTTTGAGGGGGTTTATATACAAGATTGATACAAAGAAAATAGCAAAATTAAGGGGATTGCAATTGATCTAAATCGCAATTTCGATATTCTTGCGATTGAGCGCTATGATTGCGCAGTGATCACAGTTGATCCAATCATTCTTGTAATATCTTGGATCTGAAATAATCTAGAGGTTGATTGAATGATTTCTTGAACTTTCTGCGACTAGCTTGTTCTAGGTCGAGCTTCGGCTCGACGAGCTTATGCTGAATCAATCAATCATTGTTGTTGAGCTTATTCTGGGTCAAGCTATGTCCACGCGTTGGCCCGAGCATGGCGGATATATATATATAAAAGAAAAGGCTTTACCAATTTACAATAATTAGATACCGGTATCTCATGATATAACAGCATACACTTTTATGAACTTTGCACTATAACATTATGTATTCAAGTTGATTAACAAAAGAATGAATAAATTGCATAGACCATCTCGTTTGAATTTTTATTCTAAATAGAATAAAAAATAACTCTAGTTTATTTGACTAATTAAAAAAAAAATGATATAACTAGTCGAACAATAATATTGTTTACATTAAATTTGCGGTGATTTTAGGTCACGAGTTCGCTTCTCTTTGGAGAGAATTTCTGCAAATCTGCATATAAACAAATATATATATACAAAAATTAGTAATGATTTTAGGTTTACCTGTATCATGACCAAAAATTAGGTATATATACTAATACTAATTGTTATAGAAAACATCGTACAAAAGTAGTATATACTTCTTTAGTAAGTATGATGAGAAAATAAGTCATTGATGTACAAACTATCGATGACTTAGCATCCTTTCCTTTCTTTATTCATATTTAAGTTCACGATGATACCTCTGTTGGAGGAAGATTTGGGGGCAATGGTTTAGATAGATGTCCTTGATATCTTTGGCAGCAAACAAAGGACGGTTTTTGTTCATTTGGGGCTGTTAGCATTGCGGTTACGAGGCCACCTGTGCTAGTTCCAGCAATCACATCAAAGTAGTCCGCAAGTCTTGCTTCCTCACCATCCAGTTTCTGTTTATAACAAAACATTTTCTAGTTAGAATTAAAAAATAAATAAATAAAATTATAAAAGTTTCACCTGTAGAGCATTTTTACCTGAAGCTCGGACTCCAAGAAGGCAAGGATAGTTGCCGGGATAACCCCTCTGATTCCACCTCCATCAATGCTGAGAACAGTTATCAGGTTTCCATAAGTTGGAGGCTGTAGGGGTGATTTTGGAGTTTCCATGTGAAATTAATAAGGCAATTAATGCAGAAAAGAGTTTTGGTGCCAATTAAAAGGGAAAGTGATTTTTAGCCCCCATCAAATTGATCAATAATCGCCACTTTTAAATATTTTTTTGTTTTTACAATTTTAACCTCAATGAAAATGATTTAAAATGACATAATAATTTATAAATACCATGACACTCTATTATATATTTTTGTTTTAATTCTTAATTTAATCTTTAATCATAAACCACCCTAACTCTAAATCTTCTAAATCAATATAACTTTTTTTTTTTTTTTAATTTCAAGTATTTCTTTATTTGATAAAAATATATTACTAAAGCTACGGTGAGAGATGAATCTAAACTAAATAAGTTTGAAATTAAGGAAAAGAGGTGTAAACAAAAATCCTAATTAAATTAAAATTGGGAAAAAAGAGCATAAACAAAAATCCTAATTTAGATGTTTATTTTAAGTATTAAATGGGTTTTAAAGTTATATATATATTTTAAATATAGTAGAGGTGTCATCAATTTCATGGATGCTAAAAATCACTTTCCAATTGAAAGGGGTTCTTCCGAAGAAAGAATATGAAGCCAAAAATACTTGGGTTGATCTTAGGTTAATATGACTAATGATTTCCATCAGGAAAGAAGGTCAAACCATATTATGGAACAGTACAGTTTTGAAGCACAAAATTCTATGTCTTTCCTATCACTTGAAATATTATTCATGCATTTGTTGTTATACAAAGCATTAACAAAATGCAAGAAATAATCTAATAGACCCGGTGACAGAACAAGGAAATTATTTTCTAAAAGCAAAAGAAGATTTAACCATATATATAAATTCAAGCAGAAATAATTTATCTGTTTGATTTTGATTTGAGTTGAGGTCAGGAGTTAGCATCAGTCATGAGTTTCATACACATTTTGTGACTGTATCTGAGATCGATTCAGAACTTAGAGTAACACTAACTACAATTTGGCATAAATTCTGTGAACGCAGGAGCTGGATGGCGAAGATGCCAGACTTGCAGACTACTTTGATTTGATTGCAGGGACCAGCACCGGTGGCCTTATAACTGCCATGCTGACAGCTCCAAATGAAAATAATCGACCTCTATTTGCTGCCAAGGATATCAAACAATTTTATCTCGACCACTGCCCAAAAATCTTCCCCCAAGAGAGGTAATTCTTGTAACTGCTAGTTTCTTTCTTTTCTTTTTTGTTATAGCTTCACATAAATAATGAAAATATTGCCATGCTATTACACTTAACTTAGTCTAGATTATAACTCATTAGTCTCGTTTAATTGCAGGGGTATATGGGGGTCAATTAGAAAGATGTTGAGATCATTTACAGGACCCAAATATGACGGGAAATACTTCAACTGGTTGGTAAGGGCTAAACTAGGAGAGACTAAATTGCATAACGCCCTGAGCCATGTTGTAATTCCAACTTTTGATATCAAACGTTTGCAGCCAACCATTTTCTCTACTTATGAGGTATATATCTCTCTTTACCCACTCTCTCTAGAACTTCTTCAGTTTCGCGTTCTATAATTAATGATGAAAAGTATTGGAGATTCCATTTCGAAAAAAGTTTTTGGTTAGAAATCCAACTTATATACAGGTTAAAAGATCTCCGTATTTGGATGCTTCGCTGGCTGACATATGCATCAGCACTTCAGCAGCCCCAACATACCTTCCTTCTCACTGCTTCGAGAACAAAGATCATGAGGGAACCATTCGAGATTTTCATCTTATTGATGGTGGTGTAGCTGCAAACAATCCGGTATGTTGCATGGTAATTTCTGTGGAAGTGCTTTGTGAAAATAAACAAAAAAATTAAATTAAAATAAAATTATTATAATCCACAGCTAAGTTTTACTTGTTGGCACAAAATTACAGGCTTTAGTAGCAATAACCCAAGTGACCAAACAAATATTTGATGAAAATCCTGATTTCTTTCCAATTAAGCCCATGGACTATGGCCGCTTTCTAGTGATCTCAATAGGCACTGGCTCACCAACGATAGAGCAGAAATACAACGCCGAAAAGGCAGCCAAATGGGGTACATTGGGTTGGTTACTTCATGGTGGTTCTGTTCCATTAGTGGATGTGTTCACTCAAGCAAGCGCTGATATGGTTGATTTCCATATTTCTGTGGTGTTCCGAGCACTTCATTCTGAAAAAAACTATCTCAGAATTCAAGTACGTTTATATATATATAAATCCCAGCTAATTTGATTCCTTTCTTTAATTATATTAAGCTTTTGAATCTACTGAGATGCATTATCACTAAACTTTTTAATTGACACTATATCAGGATGATTCAATGAATGGAAAAGATTCTTCAGTCGACATTGCCACAAAGGAAAACTTGGACAAGCTTGTGCAAATAAGTGAAAGGCTATTGAAGAAACCGGTTTCTAGGGTGAATTTAGAGACGGGATTGTCTGAACCAATTGAAAATGGTGGAACTAACGCGGAGGCTCTGAGAAAGTATGATCAGAAAAAGAACTACATCTTTTAGTTAGCTGCATATAATTTGGGTTTGACTAATTTCTTCATTATTATTGTGTTTTCAATGTATTAACCATACTAACAAATTATATTCTACAGATTTGCAAAACTACTTTCTGAAGAGAGGAGACTCCGAGAGACCAAATCACCAAAAACCAACAAGGAATTTGTAACTTGATTTGTTGCAGATAAAATCTTATACATATAATTGAGAAACTGCACGCTAGAAGAGAAAGCATATCAAGATTCGATTAATTATTCAGTTGTCTCCTATATATAAAGTAGAAATCACAATATGTAATTCTTTATTTCTATATAAAATAATCACCATTAATATTATTTTCGAATATTGACTTCTATAAGCGTATAACTGAACAGGTTTTTGTTGCGTTATCAGATACCTATTATAAACTTGATAGGTAATTTTAATAATAGGACTTGTAATTTAGAATAATAGTATTATATAATTGTTACATAAAAATGAAAAATTTAATTAAAATACCATTTCAAGTTTGGAAGTAATTAAATAGGTATGAAGTTTGAAACTCTTTACTAAATGAAAATTTATTTAAGCAATATAAGCGATGTAAGCTTATTTATAAACTTACCTCTTAAGTGATATGTTTAAACTTTAAATCGTTTAAGCGATGTAAATTCATAGTTATTTAATTCATTCAAAAATAATCTGGAATTGGGTTAAGGCACTGGGCCGTAATATGATTATTTCGTTATTGGACCTTGTTAGGCCCAATATGATTTTTGACCCATACAGTCATAAAAAATTCTAATTCCAACTTAAGATAGTTATAAATAAGAATAAATTTTACATCGTAATAAGTTATGATTTTTCTAATTTCTGTCTTATGAAAGTTGCCTATAGTAATAATTATATGTGTATTGCCAAAAAAAATAAAAAAATTATGTTACATTAAAAGTTTAAGATAAAATAAAATATTTATTTAAAGTTGTTTGAGATAATGATTTATGTTTTAGAGTTGCTAACACATCTTTTTACTTATAAGTACATAATAACTCATTAGTATGTATACCTTCTTGTTGAAACTAAAATATTTTCAGCTTCTCAAAATATGTTAAGAGCTTTTTAATACGAAACGTTTTGTATTTTTGTATTATCATTTTTATGATTTTTTTTTTATTTTCTTGTCTAATTGCAAGAATGACTAATAAATTGAAATCTTAATTAAAATAAGAAATCAAATCAGTAATTTATGTTTTTATATCCCTATTAAATTATAATATTTTTTATAGTAATAAATTACTTTAATTACACGAAAAGTTATACTGACTGTAGTCAACCAGTTTACGTGAAAGTGGCGGTTTTTATGTTGCGCTTCTGAGGATCAGTGAATAAAAAACTCAAGATTAACACCATGCACAAATTTTCTTTTAAGAGAAAAGAAACCTAAATTTTTAACAGCTCATCAGTCCCAAAGAAATATTGTCCGTGCCTCTACACTAAAAATTTAACCAATCAGTGTACGGCCATGCGTTGTTTAGGCCAGTTTTCATGATTCGGCGGCTCCATTACCTTGCAAATCTAATGAAAATGAATCGTGCCCCTCACGCACTTGTAGGTTAAGCTAAGACAATGAAAAAGAGTTCTAGTGAAAAAAGCATTTTATATTATAATTGTTATATTACATCATTAGTATATTCATCTAGTAAAGCAATGATGTCAGACACACAATTGTATATAATTTTATAAGTAATGAGATAGAAATTAAAATGATGTGATTCATGGCTTATCCCCATACTTAAGATTACACACGTTTCTGTTGATTTTTAACGCAGGCATACTTATCAAGCTTTATAAGATTTGTGCCATGGGCATGCATGGAACGAGTTATGAACAATTCTCACGCAAGAAAATTCTGTGTCTTCAAGAAATTACCAAACATGTAAATACCTCTTAATCGATTGAACAGTAAATGAATCCTATAAATAGCTTGTTAATTGATCAAAATGTTCCATCAAATTAACTTCAACTTTTAGTGTATCTTCTTCACCTTTAGTTGTTCCTTATTACTGAGATATATTAGCTATTTTCATTACAAGTTTTGAGATGCACAGAATAACATCTTCCCTTCTTCCCATCCAGGCCCCAACTTATGGGAATTTGATCACTATTCTCAGTATCGATGGTGGTGGTGTAAGAGGGATTATCCCTGCTACTATAATTGCTTTCCTTGAATCACAACTTCAGGTTTTCGTTGAATCATGCGTATCCATGAATATACATACAACACTCTCTGTCTACAGCTTTTTATACGTAGATCACTTTCAGTACTTATATATGGACCTATTTTATTTACTCATAATAGGCTATTTATTTGCCATCATAAAATATGCTATGGTTAGTTTCTCAGTGATCATAACTACTTAATGATCAAGCATTCATGTAAACTGTACTGAAAGATTAATCTCAATTATAATAAGCTAGATAGGAATTATATATGGACCTTAACCATGCTATGTCGGAGTGTGCATATATACATTTTGTGACTGTGTCTGAGATCGATTCAGAACTTAGAGGAACACTAACTACAATTTGGCATAAATTCTGTGAACGCAGGAGCTGGATGGCGAAGATGCCAGACTTGCAGACTACTTTGATTTGATTGCAGGGACCAGCACCGGTGGCCTTATAACTGCCATGCTGACAGCTCCAAATGAAAATAATCGACCTCTATTTGCTGCCAAGGATATCAAACAATTTTATCTCGACCACTGCCCAAAAATCTTCCCCCAAGAGAGGTAATTCTTGTAACTGCTAGTTTCTTTCTTTTCTTTTTTGTTATAGCTTCACATAAATAATGAAAATATTGCCATGCTATTACACTTAACTTAGTCTAGATTATAACTCATTAGTCTCGTTTAATTGCAGGGGTATATGGGGGTCAATTAGAAAGATGTTGAGATCATTTACAGGACCCAAATATGACGGGAAATACTTCAACTGGTTGGTAAGGGCTAAACTAGGAGAGACTAAATTGCATAACGCCCTGAGCCATGTTGTAATTCCAACTTTTGATATCAAACGTTTGCAGCCAACCATTTTCTCTACTTATGAGGTATATATCTCTCTTTACCCACTCTCTCTAGAACTTCTTCAGTTTCGCGTTCTATAATTAATGATGAAAAGTATTGGAGATTCCATTTCGAAAAAAGTTTTTGGTTAGAAATCCAACTTATATACAGGTTAAAAGATCTCCGTATTTGGATGCTTCGCTGGCTGACATATGCATCAGCACTTCAGCAGCCCCAACATACCTTCCTTCTCACTGCTTCGAGAACAAAGATCATGAGGGAACCATTCGAGATTTTCATCTTATTGATGGTGGTGTAGCTGCAAACAATCCGGTATGTTGCATGGTAATTTCTGTGGAAGTGCTTTGTGAAAATAAACAAAAAAATTAAATTAAAATAAAATTATTATAATCCACAGCTAAGTTTTACTTGTTGGCACAAAATTACAGGCTTTAGTAGCAATAACCCAAGTGACCAAACAAATATTTGATGAAAATCCTGATTTCTTTCCAATTAAGCCCATGGACTATGGCCGCTTTCTAGTGATCTCAATAGGCACCGGCTCACCAACGATAGAGCAGAAATACAACGCCGAAAAGGCAGCCAAATGGGGTACATTGGGTTGGTTACTTCATGGTGGTTCTGTTCCATTAGTGGATGTGTTCACTCAAGCAAGCGCTGATATGGTTGATTTCCATATTTCTGTGGTGTTCCGAGCACTTCATTCTGAAAAAAACTATCTCAGAATTCAAGTACGTTTATATATATATATATATAAACCCAGCTAATTTGATTCCTTTCTATATATTAAGCTTTTGAATCTACTGAGATGCATGATCACTAAACTTTTTAATTAACACTATATCAGGATGATACAATGAATAGAAAAGATTCTTCAATCGACATTGCCACAGAGGAAAACTTGGATAAGCTTGTGCAAATAAGTGAAAGGCTATTGAAGAAACCAGTTTCCAGGGTGAACTTAGAGACGGGATTGTCTGAACCAGTTAAAAGTGGTGGAACTAACGCGGAGGCTCTGAGAAAGTATGATCAGAAAAAGAACCACATCTTTTAGTCAGCTGCATATAATTTGGGTTTGATTAATTTCTTTATTATTATTGTTTTTGTCAATGCATTATCCATACTAACAAATTATATTCTACCCAGATTTGCAAAACTACTTTCTGAAGAGAGGAGACTTCGAGAGACCAAATCACCGAAAACCAACAAGGAAGTTGTAACTTGATTTGTTGCAGATAAAAGCATATACATATGAGCAACTGCACAGTAGAAGAGAAAGCATATCAAGATTCGATCAATCATTTAGTAGTCTCCTATATATAAAGTAGAAATCACAATATTTAATTCTTTATTTCTGTCTAAAATAATCAACATTAATATTGACTTCTATAAGCGTGTAACTGAGCATGCTTTTGTTGCGTTATTAAATCCCTATTGTAAACTTAATCATCTAATTTAGAATAATAGTATTATATAATGAGTAATGTGATATTTACAGTACTTTTTTATACTATTTTTATTACATCATGATGTAACATATGCCACAACCACACAAATTCTATTATAATATTAAAATTTAAAATAATTAAAATTTTGTGTGACTGTGATATATGTCACATCATGATGTAATAAATATTGTGTAATTATAGTATTACTCTAATATAATTGTGACATAAAAATGCATATAGTTGTAGGAATAGATTTTGATGCTTAAATACCACAAACTAATTTTACTTACATGATTAAGTGAGGAAGATGATAGAGATCATTAGAGATCTTTTTATGATTAACACTAACTTGGTCTTAGTTATTTGAGCTATTATTAAAAGTGTAAATATTAAAAAGGAAATATTATGAAGAAAGGATTCAGTATCAGATTCTCAAGGATACGGATAAACACTACAATTCATTCATCTATTATTAACTAAATAAAATACTACATTAAGTATCTTAATTTAATCCCTTCACACTGAAACTCCAAAGTCTTATTCCCCACAAACCAAATCTTAAAAACAAATTATGATTCTGCTTGATCTTAGATTGAAATCCAAGTATTCAGATTTCTTTTTTTTTTTTTTAAATGGGTTGCTGCGCACATGTTATAATTTT